ATGTTGGTACAGATCCTGTAACATCAATAATAACATTGAATGTTAATGGATTAAATTCTCCAGTCAAGAGACACAGACTGGCTGAATGGATAAAATAATAGAAACCCTCCATCTGTTGCCTACAGGAAACCCACCTCATGGAGAAAGACATACATAGACTGAAAGTGAAGGGTTGGAAAAAGGTTTTCCATGCAAATGGGAACCAAAAGAGAGCTGGAGTTGCGATACTAATTTCTGACAAAATAGGGTATAAAACAAAAAACGTTCAAAGAGACAAAGCCGGGCACTATATCATAATAAAAGGCTCTATATTTCAAGGAGATATAACTCTTCTAAATATCTATGCACCTAACACAGGAGCCCCCAAGTATGTGAAGGAAAGACTGTTATATCTTAAAGGGGAGATAGACTGCAACACACTAATTGTTGGAGATCTCAACAGTGCACTTTCCCCTCTGGACAGATCATCTAGACAAAAAATACGTAAAGAGATCAAGGAGCTAAATGATACCATAAATCAAATGAACTTAACAGACATCTATAGAACTTTTCATCAAAAACCATGAAAAACACTTTTTTTCACCTCGACATCGAACCTTTTCTAAGATTGACCATATCATAGGGCACAAAGAAAGCCTCTACAGATGCAGAGGCATAGAAACTATATCCAGCATCTTCTCCAACCAGGATGGAATTAAAGTTGATTTTAATTTCAAGAGAAATCCTCAAAAACACCAAAATACATGGAAACTAAATACCCTGCTCCTGAATAAATCTGCTACTACCAAAGAAAAAAAGACTGAAATCAAAAGATTCATGGAAACCAATGACAATGAGAACATGAGTTTCCATAATCTTTGGGACACTGCAAAAGCAGTCATAAGAGGGAAGTTCATGGCAATTAGTGCACATAAGAGGAAAATGGAAAGAAAGCTAATGGATCACCTAACATCATGCCTCAGAGAATTGGAAAAGCAACAGCAAAAAAACTGAAAAAACTCGGGGCCAGCAGTTAGTGTAATGGCTATGTCGCTGGACTCCCACGTAGTCGACCGCGGTTCTCGTCCCGGACCCGGTGGCTTAAACTCACACC